TATACAAAAATTTGTCATGAATTTCCAGACAACCCAATTGATTTAGATCAGTTAGCTTTGTGTCATAACTGATGACTGAGGCAAATAAGCCTAGTTAGGATCGATTACCAATTGAATCGATTGCCTAATTATTTTTCTTTTTCTTTCTTTTTTTTTTTTTTTTTTTTTGAGAGGTTTTTGCTATAGGGTGAATGCACTCAACAGAGAGACAGAAAACGAGAAATCACCCCCCAGGGGGATGGCCACGCCACAATCCCTTCTCCTCTTGGGATCTTGAACACGCACATACATGTGCCTGACGTGAGTTTAAGCCACTGGGTCTGGGACTCGAACCACAGTTGACTACATGGGAGTCCAGCAACATAGTCTTTACGCCATCTGCTGGTCCCTCGATTGCCAAATTCTTTGTATAGGTATTGGAATTTCATTATAAAATTTTAGAATAGATTTATTCCTTAATATTCAAAAGAATGTTTAGGGTCTTCTATAATAATTATAATTGAGGTTGTTAGGAAGACTAGTTTTCAGAAAGAGATTGTGATGAACAATGATACCGTGTTCCAGAAACTACATTCCTTTGAAGTTTATTTATTTTCTGCATAATACATAGTACTGGAGAGAGAGTGAGAGAACAAGAGTCACCCCCGAGAGGGTCTCATCACACCACAGTCCAGCCAGTCAGGATCTTGACCCACGTGTGCAAAGGTCCTGTGTGTTTTCAGGCCAACCCAGGGATCCCAATTTGCAGTTGGTCTTGTGGGTTCCAGCACTGAAGTTCAGTTTGCCACCAACTACACTACCATGCTGAGCCACATAAACTCAGTTCTTTCTAAGGCTTACTTGTCAACATACTATTTTGTCTAATTTATTAATATTTATTCCCGGGATCAGTCGCTTTCCTATTTCCTTCTCCTTTTGTCTTTCCCACATCTTTTTTCCTTTTTGTTCCTAGTTATCTGTATCCTTCCAATAAAGTTTTTACCGTTGTTATTCACTGTCCTTTTGTTCCTTGCTGAGGTTTTTAACTACCCTATTTGCCATATTTCTTCCCAATAGTATAAGAGTTACTGTAATCAGAAGTATGAGAGTATTGCAAAAACTACATGGACAAATGGAATTAAAATGCAAGTTTAGGGGCCAGCAGGTGGTTTGGTGGTTAAGGCACTAGACTTTCACATGGCCAACCCTGCAGTTTGAGTACCGAGCTCAGCAGCTGGAGAATCTCACCGGGGACATATCATGTGCATGTGAACCCAGAATCCCAAGAGAAAAATAGAGGAGAGGGGATTATGATGTGGACGTCCCCCAAGGGGAGTGATTTTTCACTTTTCCTATCTCTTTTTCTAGTGAGCACACATGCCATAGTCCAAAAATTAGGAAAGTAAATAAATAAATAAACAAACAAACTGAGTTTCATTTGGTGTGAAAAAGTAATTTTCAAATCCATGCCTAGTGTTTTCATAATATGCCTTTACCATGACTTTTCAAAGACCCCTCATATAGAGAAAACGCCAAATGCTACCCGCTGACCCACGTGGACACCAGTGTTAATGCACCTCATGTGGGGGTGGCTTGATTAATGTGGCATATAGTTCTTCGTTTTCAACAGAAGTATGTTTATATTTTAGAAATCAGCCTATCTGATTTGAACACAGGATATACAATCCATGCACTCGTTTTAGAAAAGATGCTTCTGTTGTTTTATCTGGTCATTCAGTAGACATTTCCTGCGGGCCTGCCATGTGCTAGACACAGCGTTCAGGACTAAAACTATGAAGAGCCAACTTTGGGATCCCTGCGTTGGGTGGGTGCGGGGTGAGTCACTGTCTCCATCCCACCCCTGAGATCCTGTGGCTCCGACATTACCCAGGAGCAAGTTACTTCTTTGGTGGGTTTTCTTACCTTGTGAATGAAACTTTGACTCTTCATCATCATCCCTCTTAGCTAGAAAATTTTCAGTTTCTAATTGTTGCAACATTTTCTTGGGATTGTGTTATGGCTTCTTGAGTCCGTCGCCATATGTCACAGTTAAACTAAGCTAGTTGGCGGTGCCGGGTGGTGGCGCAGTGGTAAAATGCAGCACTCTGTGGGGCTCATCCACACAGGAAGGTTCCAGGGTGGCATCTGGAGACCTCCCTGAATACATGCCGGGCACGCGGCGAGCCCGGGTCAGGGCTGACTGAGGCTGTGGGTGGGTTACAGCATCGAGACTGTAGCGGGTACTGTCTCCCCCTCTGTCTCTCTCCATCTCTCCTGCTCTTTGAAGAAATAAATAAACACACATTAAAATAAGTAAGTTAATGAAGGGCATTCTAATAGGTAAGGCTTAACAACTTCTGCCTCAAGTTAAAATTCTTGAACCTCTAGTAAGATCTGTCCTGTCTTTCCCACAGTTCCACTCATGTGTTGTTCATAAATCTTAACTCTTAAGTATGGCTTTTTGGCTCCCTATCAGGTAAGACATTGCATTTAACTTAGCAAAAACCAAACTTGGAGCCGTCTGGGAAGAGTTAGCAGCTTCCCTGCTTCCCAATCCAGAGCGCTGTAGGTTTTGTTTGTTTGTTTGTTTGTTTGTTTGTTTGTTCTAGGGAGGGGAGGAGTTGCTCTTAACTCCTGATGACAGTTAGGCTGCAGTGTCATCTGCCTCCCTGGAGCCTGTGCCGTGACTCAGCCATGGCTTTGCGGTGATAATAGCGCCAGTGTCCCATCCTTGGACTCCAGTCTGTTCCAGCATCTCCAGGCCTAATTTCTGCTTGTAATCTGATTATGGGGTTTGAGCTCTCCCAGCCTGCAGCCTCTTGCTTTGCGTTTCCCATACACTCAAGGACACAAGTGCCTGGTTGCTCTAGCTGTGCGCGGTGAAAAAGCTCAACCCGGTTTTGCTGAGACCGACCGAAGGTCGCTGCTGTTTGAGAATTAGCGGTAGATCAGGCTCTCTGGCTGCGCCTCCCATGTGCCACCATGTTCAGAAGCCCAGGGATTTCCAGCTACTTAGGAGCGTTCAAGTTCTCAGAGAAACAAGGTAAGGCGAGAGAAATAGCAGATGCACTTACGGATTGATTTTCTAACGTAATGATTATCTCGGAACCCTGCATTTTACCCTGTATGCTCCCACGGCCAGTGAGTTAATGTAGAGTTCTCCAAGGACACTTAAAATATCTCATTGAATGTATAAATTAGCAGTGATTGCTGAAAGCGTGACTTTTCTTTCTCTGTTAGTAAATTAAAGATAAGGCTCAACCACTGAAGTCTTCGTGTAGGAAGGGTAGCAAATTAAATAGGTGTACCCGAACTTCGGATCAGACCTGGGATGTGCTGTACTTCAGGGAAAGTATTTTTCCAAACCAAGCAGTATATACACTAAATCATTCCTAGCAGGCAGTAGTACGTTTCTTTTTATTAACTCCTCATGTGAGGCCGTTTGGAACGAAACACTGTCTTTAAGTGACTTCCTTTTCAGCACAAAGAAAAATATATGCTTCCACTATAACTACCGAGGTGGTATCCCATCTTCAGTTTACTGACTGAACACAAATAAAAGGCCGAAGTTATTTGGAATTTCAGTTTGGGAATTTGGCCATTCTGTACCCAAGGTATTTTCTAGCACCAAGGCACCGTTCGGAAAAGTGATTTGATCAATCCGAGCCTTCAATTCAGGAGCGTTCCAATAATATTCAATAACTTTTTGAACTGAGTTCCCTTTCTTTAAAAACATAATACAGTACTTGTGGACTTGCGAGAAAAATCCTAGATGTTTAATTGGCATTATACCTCTCATTGTATTGTATTTCTCTAGTTGGCCAGAACTTCCCAAATTGAGAACTAAGGATATAGTTGGATGGATAATGAAGTGTCAGCATCTGGTATATTTTGTATTTTTTCTCAGGCTTCTGCCCCTAAATATTTAGCAGTAAAAGGCACTTCCTTAGGGA